TCCAGTTTGTAAATGCGTCGTTGAATCTTTTTCTGGAGCCGCCTTGCTTCCCTCAGATCGTAAATTGACCTTGTGCGTCTGTATCGTCGTTCAGCACGCCTTCGTATAGCTCGTAATTTTTCCAGTTCGATGTCAAACTGTGTTACTTTAGAGGAAAATGGTAATTTACATTTGGACGCTTGCATAGCTTCCACTATGGTATTTTCCAGGCTGCAGGCGAGGCCTTCTTGGCAAGCGTTCTCAACACGCGATGCAAAAATCGACCAGTCAGTGCCAATTGCAACACCGGAAGAGAAATTTTTTATGATACCATCGATCGTCACGTAGGTGGGTATGTGATCACTCCCATGAGTCTCAATATCGCAAAACCACTTAACTTTGTGAGAGAAGCACCGTGACACCAATGTCAGGTCAAGGCAACTGCCATACGTGAGACCCCGCAGATATGTGGGGGTACCATCGTTCATGATGGAAAGGTCGTAATCGGAAGCGAATGTAACAATGTTCCGGCCCCTGGCATTCATCCTAGTGCTTCCCAAAGCATGTGATGGGCGTTGAAGTCACCGGTGATGATCCAAGGCCCATCGGTTCTCATTAGGATGTCTTTTAATCTGTCGCAGTCAAATCGCGATGACGGAGATATATATCCACCAATAAGCGTGAACGAAACTGCATTCTTCTTCACACGAAGACACACGTACTGATTGTCGTCATTTGAACTTATTGGGTGCGAAAAATAAGTCAAGTCTGTGCGAATGTAAACAATTACTTTGCTTCGTTCTTCGCAAGCGGCTGAACAAAAAGCTTCATAACCGGACAATCTATAAGGCGTTGATACGTTTGGTTCACATATGACAAGTATAGGGAATTGATTGGCCTGAACAAATTGGCGAAAGTCCGAGATACGGGACTTCATGTCTCTGGCGTTCCACTGGAAAATCGACGCACTTTTAACTTCAGTGCGGAAGATGAGATTTTGTTGAGCCATTGTGCTTATACGAAGTTAGCAAGAACTGGATTCAGTGCATCCAGTATTTGCAGTGCACTCTTAGCAGACGGAGATTGTATGCTGCTCAGCAGCGTGCGAATCGTGGCAATTAATGATTGCACGATTGCAGCCACTTGCCTGTCTTGGTTGGAAAGATCTCAAACCGGCACGATTGCAGTCACTTGCCTGTCTTGGTTGGAAAGATCTCGAACCAGGAGCGCGGACTGGCCGTCATGAAGCTCCTTCGGTTCGCTTGATGCTGCTTCCCTTTGAAGTGCAGGCCACTCTGTCGCAGTTAGGGTATGCTCACTGGCTTTGTCCTTTACAGCCTTTTCCACGGCATGTGGTCTGGGAGGCAAAGGAGGTGGTACTGATGAGGGATCACGCAAACGTGTCGAGGAGGTAGCGGGCGTCCTCGAAGACCGACGCCGACGTGAACGACGCCTTCTGACTTTAGCTGCGGCTTCTCGATGAGATGAGTGATCGCGCACCATCTCCTTCAAGATGGCAATTTCCTTCTGAATCCGCGGGCAGTCCTTCGATGTGGCTTCATGGGATCCATTGCAATTAGAGCATTTCTTGACAGTTGCGACGCACTTATCCGCTTCATGGTGTTCGGCGCAGCGGTGGCATACCACCGAATTCTCGCAGACGCTGCTCACATGTCCAAGTTTCATGCATTTACGGCACTGGAGAGGCTTCGGAATGAAAGGCCGCACAGCATGTCTGAAGTACCCCACCTTCACATGAGAGGGGAGAGATGTGCTCTTAAACGCAATCTTCACACAGCGAGACTTGCCTAGCCGGGTGACATCAACAATTGGAGTATCAGTTGTTGACTTGACAAGAAGTTGTAAGTCCTTATCGGAAATAGCGACATCAATGTCGTAGATCACGCCGGTTACTACATCACATCCCAAGGGAACATGAGAGCGCACCTGGTTGCCGTCCAAGTCAGTTACACTGCGCAGAACACCCAACGCACTTGCGTGCAAAACGTCCACAGCCAGTATATTCTTTATGGCGTTCACTCTTATGTCCGTGATCTCATTTGGCACGAGCGTTTCCAGAGACCTCGACACAGACTGTCTGTTAAGGCGTTTCATGCTGACGGTAGGAAGTGCAGGCAGAAACAGGATGGTATAAGTGTTCGATTTTGGCGCTTCACTTACAGTTTGAATAGTTGAGGATGAGGATGTCCTCATGTTCCTTCTCTTCGCCTTGCGGCTCAGCACAGGTTGGAAACCGTCATCTGAGAAGTCCTCACTGCTGAGATAGTAAGCATGAGTATCTTCACTGTCGCTGTCGCTCGCTTGTCCCATCCGCTTCCTGGAGGCAGTCGCCGCTGACGCCGGCAGGCGCCCGGGGTGGTCTACTTCCATCCCCTCCAAGGTAGCAGCGGAAACTGATCAACAGACTTAAATTACAACTGAAATACGCCAGAGTTAGCAGAAGTAGCTCCTATTCAAAACACACTTCTTCGTCTTCGTGTTGAAATTTTGCATAATTTATATAGGTCCGGGCATGGAAGCATGATGGTTTGACGGGGCAAGCGATCTCGAACATTATTGGAAAGTGGTCACTGTTGGAGGCGCAATCAAGGGCTGTCCACGATGTACTAGCAATGGCCGAGCTTACAAAGCTTAAATCTAAGGCGGAGCGTGAATAACCTCGAATAAATGTGGGAGTTCTAGTGTTAAGGCACAATAAGTTGTTGTCTACCGACCAGTTCCACAATCGTTGTCCACACTGATCTGTTCTAAAACCCCAGCAGGTATGGTGAGAGTTGAAGTCGCCAACTATAATTTTTTCTTTACAGCCTGAATTAGCAGCCATATCTAACAATCTCGTGTCTTGAACGCCTACAGGAAAGTAGAAGTTTATTAGCAAGAAAGGCAAATATCCTGGCAAGGTAATATCTAACGCGAAAATTTCGCACTCAGAAGACATACATTTGTATGAGTTTTTGACTTTTAAACTAATTTTATTGTTTATAAAGAAAGCTAAACCTCCACCTTTGGATGGACGGTCTAGCCGAAAGGTTTGAAAGTTGGGTAAATGAAATAAATGATGTGTGGATAGCCAAGTTTCTTGTAATGCAATAATAGCCGGATCGAATTTGGAAGACAGGTATAACAGATCTGTTATGGCTGAGTGAAGAGATCGGCAATTCCAATGTATAATTTTAAGAGACCCTATGATTTCGTTAAAATGGTTTCGGCAATTACCTTATCTAAAATACTTTCTTTTAGAAAATCGGTTTTTGAAAGGTTGTCTTTCTGGTATTTCTTGCTTTTTACATGTTTCGGTGAGCCAGGTTTTTTCGATACAGGGATACAGGGGATCTAGAACGCTTTAGGCCTTTGGTATCTATGTCCATATTTTGTGTGTCCTGAGAAGCTTCCTGTGCACCCTCGCTTTGCCTCTGAACGCCTTCTTCAGAGGGCTCTGCAGACTGTGCATCCGGTGGAGTTATCTGAGATTCTGCCTCACTTGTCGGGTGTGCAGACTCAGCATTTTTTACAGCCGTACTTATATCTATCTGTGCTCCATAGACTTGTGCGATTTGGTTATTCACAATGTGCGACAGCGACTCACATAGGGTGGTAGCAAGGCGTTGCATAGCCTTATCCACAGCCTTCTCGATCATGTCCGCAATTGATAGGAAAAATGATGCTTCCATTGCTATGTTATGGCGGGCAGCTGCTCCTGCATACCCTTGAGTTCGGGCTTGGATTTCAGCAATGGCATCCTTTCGGGAGCATCGCCTTCTGTCTACAATTTCAAGGATTTGGATTTCACGTGCCTTGGCTGAGCAGTTTGGGTTATCAGCGCAGTGTGCTTCATGGCAAAGACAGCACTTTTCTTCGTTACTTTTACAGTCGTTTGAGTTGTGCATCTCACCACAAATTCTGCATCTAGGTACTGACCTGCATCCTTTCACTGTGTGCCCATAACGCCAACACTTAATACACTGTAGGGGACGAGGTGATAGTGGCTCCACTCTGTATATTAAAGGCCACGCTTTGATTTCGGTTGGGCGATTTGACCCGGCAAATGTAGCAATCTTCACAGTTGTTTCAACGGGTCCGGGGACCCTTCAACGGGTCCCCGGACTCCGTTGGGACCTTGTTGTTGTCCACTACTCGACTACATCTATAGATAGCTATCACACCTGCTTCTGAAAACATATCTAATATCTCAGTTGGGGTCAAGTTGACATTGACACCCCGAACGAGGCCTTTGACGCAAGCTAGGTGAGGTGAAATGAATGCGCTCAACGGGTTGGTAGCAAATACCGAGCATTTTAGTAGGTCTCGAACACAGAGCTGGTCAGACGAGAAGCAAAGAATGCCACCCTTGCCGAACTGCCTGACCTCTGTGATGCTTTGGTAGCGAGTTGTAGCAGCTCTCAACTCCGCCTGAATCATTTTTGGATTCTTCATCCGTATAATACCATCGTTGCTTGGGACCAATGCCACAGGAAAGGATGAGATGCCATTGCGTAAAACAAGTCCACTGGCAATTCCTGCGAAGGAAGAGAAGCAGACCAGAGGAAAGCCCCTGGTCCAGGTGAGGAAAACGGCATCTGCCTGGTCGTACTATCTGAAAATACACTTGCTAATCAATTAGGACACTATAGAAACGCTTACGAAAAAAAGAATAAACAAAATCAATCGCAACTACTGAATTCTTGGCCAAACCCTCAGAGCAGGCAAACGACAGTCGCTGATCGAAAGCTCGAGAAGACTGTTCAAAAAGTTCTTGCTGCATCTTCTTTGCTTCAATAGTTGAAATTCAGAGCTCTTGCTAAAGTTTTGCGTATTGAAATTGGCGAATGCCAACAAAGCGAGGCCTGGCACACTATGAAAACTTTCTCGACTGTTCTGTCACCGTGAGTCATACAATATGCAAGTTTAAAGACGCCATTCTCAGGCACAGTGCACAAACTTTTCGTTATGGCTATGGGCAGCGCGAAAACAATAATCAGTTGGCAACCAGTTGCGACAAAGTCGACAAAACACTGAGTCGTATCCAATCTATCATTGTCGGTCGTGGTTGGTAAAAAATGGTCAATATTCTGGTAGTGATTACGGTATTTACCGCTGTCTTTCGACGTACTCGCGCAGTAAGCATCAGTCCTTGTCTAGTTAACCCCGACTGCTTGTGTATACAGTATTCATCGAATTAAATCTTTGTGTCTATTTTGTTTGTGCTTGCGAATTGCTATTTACTTCCGGCCGGCACCTCTGTGCCTTGCTGCCTTTCAAAAGGGGATCTCGTTTTTGCTGGTTGAATCTTTTCCAGAATGACCTTGAAGACAAGTTGATCACGTTCACGGTGTATCATTCTTTCGGCTCCGGTGCGTACGAGCGGCTTTAGCAAAATGGAAGCTGCTGGCTGGCAAAAAAACAACTGTATTAAGCATCGCAGCTGGTCCCCTCTGTTCCAGGTTCCGACAACAGCTACGTTAGCAGAGCTGTTCTTTCTGTCCCCTTGGCCAGGCCATCGGAAAGTACATTTAACCAATTGCCACTTTCGGCGTCTGATGCAGCCAAGCTAAGGGTCATTATGCTTTGAATATTTATGCTAATCACCGTAGTGTGAAGGCGAAAGTAGCCATACGTATTCCTCAACTATGATAGATACTTTTTTTTTTTCTTTTGCAGAAGCTTTCAGAGGAAAACGGCCTGTACAGGGTGCGAGTAACAAGCGAACAAAATGACTCCCCTTTTGTTGCTTCGTCATTTGCAAAAGCTGTAAGTATATTTGTAGTGAATCAAATTAACCCGCGTGAACATGCAACTGTCTTCTCCAAATAGCTTTAGCACGTACGAAAGACGTGTGTTCATCAGTCGTTCGGACGTATCATCATTGTTACTGAATCATTTAGCCAATCGTTACTGAAGCATTTTATGTAGGTCGGGCTCGCCTTGCGTTTTCGATGCGTTTACCGTTGTCTAATGTGTGTGTGTGAATTCCAACTTTGTCTACCCGCAGTTTTGTTCAGGTTTGCATATCAGCGTTGACTTACCTATTCAAACACTGCCGTTAATCTTACTTCACTCTTGAACTGCCTAAGTCATTAAATGTTCTTGTTTATTTATGTGTGCAAGTGTTCCCTCTACGAGTCTGAGCTGAAGGACCACTTCATGGTGACGTTGGACCGCTCTGGTGCCCTGCTTGGGGTGTCAGGACTTTGCTGGCCATCAGTGCACAGGCGCGCATGTTCCAGACCACAAGCTCGTGAATTTCAACACTACTCTCTCTGTATCCATAGTCAACATTGCTCCTGGGTAAATACAAAAAGAAGTGTTCATCCCTGCATCAAAGTGTCATTTAAGCAACTTGATCAAGTTGTCTCAAGAGACTTGCCTCAGTCAGACAGACAAATTACAGATATTGGAAACAAATACAGCCAGCTAACTATGCAGATCATAATTTGTGGTGGAAATGCATCGTTAGCTTGCGGGCAGTTGCAACAACTTATTTATCATTGGTTTCTGTCACTTTCTCAATAATTACGAATGTGGAGATTGCATTCGACTGAACAAATACGGTTACGAATGTGGAGATTGCATTCGACTGAACAAATACGGTTTATTATAGCTGGTGTGGATAGGCATGCGCACAGAAGGTGGGTGGGTAAGGGGGGCACTACTTTTTCTAGTCATCTTAGAGGAGGTGGGGGCGGGGCACAAATTCAGTACATACATTGACATAATAATCGTCCAGGGGTCGCTGCGACGAACATTTCCCTCTCTCCTTCCCTGAAGGAGAACCCTGCACACGCCTATGCTGGTGTGAATTCGTGTACTGATGGTGTGTAACATGCAAAAAATGTGAAGAATTTAAATTGTTTTCAGTCATAGGATTTATGTAGGGATAAAAAAAGAATGCTTCAAGGTATTTGTATCATATATTAGGCTTGCCTTGACAGCAATTTACTCGCATAGTCAAAAAATGCATTTGAATAAAATCGTGAAAGGTGTATAATACACTATAAATGCGAACAAGTGTCTTCTCCCTTCGAGACAGTCTGAGTGAACGATCCGAATAAGCGACAGCTCCCAGGATTAGAAGTGTTCATTTCGTACCACCATTAGCAGATTCCATGGACAGTTGGTCAAGAAATTAATATTTTTAAGCTATGTGCAGGCTTCTCTTTACCACCAAATGATGCGCACAAATTGTTGGTAACGAGGCTTACGCTCTTGCACTTACTAATTACAGACCAGACACGCAAACCTATATTCGACGCATGGAGCAGGAAAAGGCAGAAAGGGCACGTGGTGAAAATGCTGACAACCGTTCCTTTTTCGCCAAATATGTAAGTTTCTTCTAGCATTGTATATGTTGCATGTAGCCACAGTTACCCGATGCACTGCGAGCTCATCTTGCACTGCAGGCTTTCATTGCTGTTTCTAGCATGCAACACATACTAGGTGTTTCTTTGAAAAGGAGTACTACGAAAAATTTCTCTCAGCAATGTAATCAAGATGAAAATAACTTTTTTCTTTCAATGTAATTGATTGATTCATATGTGGGGTTTAACGTCCCGAATCCACCATATGTTCATGAGAGATGCCACAGAGATGTCGTTCCGGAAATATTGACCACCTGGGGTTCTTTAACGTGCACCCAAATCTGAGCACACAGGCCTACAGCATTTTCGCCTACACCAAGAATACAGCCGCTGCAGCCGGGATTTGATCCCGCAACCTGCGGGTCAGCAGCCGAGTACCTTAGCCACTAGACCACCACGGGGGTTCTTTCAATGTAGCCATCACACTTGGTGGACATCACAAATTAAGTTGCGTATATGTTGTTATTTCCTGGTGGGTTTTCTAAGGGTGCTTGTTAACTTGTTTAATAGGCATAGTTATTTAGGAACCAACAATTCAAAGCTTGTAATTACTGCTGAGACAATCCCATATCAGCTTTCAAATTAAATTTTTCTCATCCTGCGTGAGAGAGTCTCTCGCTTTTTCACTGGGAAGCTAACAGACCACTAAAAGCAGTGTAATTTTTTTTAGTATGTATGTTTTACCATTCTATGTTTTATATATTTTTCATTGTGGGGCGGGAAAGTATCTTTGGAGACATAGTGTTCATGTACTACTCCAGAGGAAAAACTCCCCATAGGCCCCGTGCATTAAAACCTATAACCGCACTGGTGCCGCCATGATGGAATGATATTCAGCTTTTGGGTGGTCTCACTTTCACTCGCCATGCATGCTGCCCCTGGCATTTTTATCTGTTTCGTGGCTCTCTGTTCCATCGCAGTTAGAAACTGTCACATAAAGTCAAGTTGTTGGCTCACGGCAACAAATACATGGACAATGAGAAACTATAATCCACACTACACGCGAGCAAGCCAGCGCATTCGGACGCACGGCCACACTCGCCCTCGCATACTAATATGGTTCGAGGATGGTGCCGTCACCTTACAAGTAAAACCATAAACGCTCCTTTCCATGCACAGCAAATTGCACAAATGACAATTGCATGTTCCCTAAAACTAGTTCATATAAACATCACACAGTTTCCGTTCATTTGGTTTATGTGAACACGCTCCTTTATGATTTATACTGCGAGAATTCGTTTTTCTAGAGTATTGCGATACCAGCAATGACAACATTCCAAGATAGCGCAGTGGTGGTTATAGCTTTTTCTGGCCAAGCTTTTTCTCTAGAGTCTGTTTTATTAACCATGTTCAATGGTATATGGTCATGTCTAAAATATGGAGGAAAGGTCTAAATTTGGAAGTCTCCTGTATTAATTGTGAACACTGGCAGACACAGCAAGCCGACTGCCACTGTGGACCTCGAGTAACAAGACAGGAGAATCAAACAGCACGGACTACTACTTTGAATACATAATGCGATATATGCAATTACTTTACAATTCCCGATAATTACGTTTCAAAGCAAATTTGGCGTTCTCACACTGGATGCGTTGCATGACAGCACTCAACGATGGCCATGCCATCATGCACAGATATGCAGCTGTACAGCTCCTCTAGGCAGCTTTGCTGTAAGGAAACTGTACACTGAGAATGTGGTACCTCAGTCGTTGGTTGCAGGTTGCTGCACTAGTGATTTCCTGCTTCTTTTGAAGCATGTATGTTAATGTGCTTTATAACTATTTTTTGTTTGTTCCAGTGGATGTACATCATGCCACTCCTCATCTTCCTGCTCATCTCAGGTGCTTCAAATCCAGAAGGCCAGGGAGGTGGTAATGCCGGTCGTTGAGGAAATTCAGATAAATGAGATGACCACCCTTTCTCCCCATTTGTAATATATGTTCACTTTACAAGCACATCACTTTACGATAGTTTTCTGTGCACTAGTAGTAACTGAAGGCAAGTATGTGTGTGTGTGTGTACAATTGTTGTTAATAAAGGTTTGGACTACAACGGTGTTGAGTGTTGTTTTGTGAAAGTTAGGTCAAGTGGCAGATAGGCCTTCAAAAATTGGCACACACAATGCCTGCTCCACTTGCAAGAGAAGCACAGAGAAGATACTATCACTTTACAAGCACGCATTCACTAGGTTCATGTCTTTCTATGTAGTTAATAATGACTCTAGTTGGGTCACTCGAGCACTCACAAGTAAGACCCTCTCAAATATTTAAAGTGCTCTTCCCTACTTGGACTAGTTTTAGCAAGAATTACGAAGTCCAACTGTTGCGCGACATGTTCGCTTTCCTCGTGCACCTAGTAAGCAGTATTTTTACGGCTAAGCTGCATATGGCTAGAGGATTTGTCTGTTCATTTGTGTGAAGGTGCGTGCCACAGAAATTGGGCAAACCTCACTAGTACACTAAACGTGAAGAAGGGGACACACGGACAGCAAACAGCAATTAAAATCTGGCTTTACATACCAAGCGCGTTTGGCAAGCGACTTTACGGACTGACATTTTGGATTTCAGTTACAGTGTGCACAATCAGCTAAGGCTAAAAATTTTGTGTCTCCTTTCTTTCATGCACTAAACAGTTTTGCTAATAATCCAGCTTTAAGAATAAAATGGCTCCTCTCTCTACTTTTTTTTTTCTTTTGCTGTGCATCTGGCAGTTCCTATACTTCTTTAATTGACCACAACACCATGCTCCAAGACATTGCCGAGCAAAAAATACCCAGGCCTTGAAGCAGGAACACTCTGCATTGCTCATGCTAACCCAATAAATCAAGCGCCGATTGTTTTACAACATGCATCAATTTTAACTTGCCCACCCCTTTACCTTACTGCAATTTGTTTCTCGGAAATATCAATAATGTTTGACCAACCAACCAATGCCTATGCAAATAAAAATTTACTAGTTGGAGTAATATTTACTAGACCAACCTAGTGAAAAGACATTTGCCATTGCTTGCTAGCTGCAGGAGGAAAAGCAACATGTCGCGCAACAGTTATGGACTTCGTCACTCTCGCTCAAGCTAGTCCAAATAGGAAAAAGTGCACTTTGAATATTTGAGACTGTTTTACTCGTGCAAAAGGAATGCTTTAAGGGGCCCTGCAAAACTTTTTGAGCATGGTCAGTAAACGCCGCCGATCAATAGTCGGAGTACCCGTGAACATGCGAGCCGATTATTACAACACAGCACTTGGCCTGGAATTCGCAACAAATTCTCAAAGTCAGCAAAATACTGCTTTCCCTTCACTCAACAAATGGCGGAACAAGCTCGAAGATTACTCACCACAGCCACTGTATCAGCCATTGGCTGATTTGAGCATGGCATGCTCAGTTGTTACAGGGCCCACCGTGGCAGGCCACATCTGTCCACGCGTGCCTGATCACACTGAAAAGCCACGTACTTGAAGGAAAAAAAATATATAAGTGCTCAAGGTCGCATCTCTTTCTACTGCAGGTTCCAGTGCTTTTGTCGGCACAAAAAAGAATGCAATTGCAGTGTGCAAGAAATCTTTGTAAGCCCCGCCACGGTGGTCTAGTTGCCTAACGTACTCGGCTGCTGACCCGCAGGTCGTGGGATCAAATGCCGGCTGTGGCGGCTGCATTTCCGATGGAGGCGGAAATGTTGTAGGCCCATGTGCTCAGATTTGGGTGCACGTTAAAGAACCCCAGGTAGGTCAAAGTTCTGGAGCCCTCCACTACGGCGTCTCTCATAATCATATGGTGGTTTTTGGACGTTAAACCCCACAAGTTAATCAATCAATCAACAAATATTAGTGACTCCGCTCGTACCAGACAGATTCTAAAAATTTTTGCACCAGTGAATTTGAGACAATAAGATCTTTTACCTGGAGCTTATTGGAGAAACCTGGAGACTTACAAAGACGGTTCAGCTTAAATTGAGGACACAGCGAGCAATGGAAAGAAAAATGGTAGGTGTAACCTTAAGAGACAAGAAGAGAGCAGAGTGGATTAGGAAAAATTAAGAAGAGGAAATGGACATGGGCCGGGCATGCAGCGCGTAGACAGGATAACCGCAGGTCATTAAGGGTAACTCACTAGATTCCCAGAAAAGGCAAGCGGGTTAGGGGGAGACAGAAGGTTAGGTGGGCAGATGAGATTAAGAAGTTTGCAGGTATAAATTGGCAGCAGCAAGCACAGGACCGCGTTGACTGGCGGAACACGGGAGAGGCCTTAGTCCTGCCGTGGAGGTAGTCAGGCTGATGATGATGATGAAGCTCCTTTACTAAATTCATTTCATGGCTATTTGAGAAAGTGTTGCAGGGCCACGTTCACGAATGACCATGTGACAGATATTGCACACAAGCACGCTGTGTGAATGTGCCTAGTCTACCACTTTTCGTTGTGTATCTATGTTTGGAGGAACACAAACAATATGTGTTTTCGGGTCAAAATTGGCGGAAAAAGAATTTGTATGCTTATGTATGCGACCATTTACACCATTGCAGTACAATGCTGCAATCAACTGCTGCACTGCCAGTGCAGTAGCTTACAAATGCAATTAAAGATTAGAATATGGGGTGGCGAGAAATTGTTTAACAATGAATGTCGTTGGATGCATTTGTCAATGTCGCGGCCTTAATGAAGGCCATTCCACCCTGTCAAAAAGTTGGCCCTAACAATATTCTCTGTTTAACAGTATATAATTGCTTGATACCTCCATCAACCTCTGATCTTCAGTCTTGTTAAGCTACTTGAGGTACATTTCAATTGTTTTTTTTATGCATTCAGTGCGATCAGAAATTGATGTTCATTTGCAGAACACTCTCAAAAAGGGCGCGAAAAGCTTGAACTTACGTAACAACTAATGAAGGTCAATGCTCCGTGATAAGTATTTGGACTATATTTGTCGGTCCTAGCAATCGAATACTACAGGCTTTAAGCTTGCAAGTGAAGCCAACGGCAGCGTAGTGCAATCCCCGTCGACGTGCAGCCACTGCCACATATTTGGCTGGATGACTTCATGACAGAATCAGGGCTTTCGTAGAAACACTGTGAATATGCCCCGACATGAAAGATGTTGCTGCACATGACTAACCGGCTAGTCACAGGCGCTAATGATCACTCTAGGGCTTACTATCGGAAACGGCGGCCAGTTCTTTCAGCAGCTCTTCGCGCTTCTTCGCCTTGAATGATTCCATGAAATCTTTTAGTTGCTGGTCCGCTGCAGGGTCTGCAGGAGGAAAGCACTCGCGCTTTTTCTTCACCACCCACTCTTCGAAGAACTGCGGCTGGTTGAACACGTAGAAAAGAGCGACGGGAAATGTCATGTATACGGCCATCTTCCACACTTCGAGCTGCCAGTTCCCCATGCTGCAGGTGTGAACCTACGCACTGGCCAAATTTTCGTATATTGACGAACGAGCGATACTTTTAGAGCACGGTAAACACGGCCACACCAACCGCATGAGTGCACGCCAGCAAGTCGCGCCTTGCCGTGTCCTTACAGCGAACGAGTTCGCAGACATAGCCTCCTGGATTTCCTTTGCCTGCCGGATTATCAGCGGTCACTTGAAAAGCGGCCGTCGTCGGAACTATGATGATGGCGCCACCTAAGTAGGAACGTTTTTAAATAAGTTTTTGCAACTTATAGGCAACAAAAATAACGCAAAAAGTTTTTAAAAGACTTAGACGTAATTATAATTAGCCCTGCGTAAGTGACGCCGTCATTCAACAGGCAATTACTTCAATACAAGGCATTGCCTCTAAAATTAGTAGCAAACGTCAAAATTGCCAATCTCAAAGGCCAAGTACAAAGACCCTTATTTCTACGTAGGCAGCGCCGTTATAGATAACGGCCTTTCCGCGCTCATTCGGCAGGCAAAAGAATCTAGGAGGCTACGCTACAGAACACCTAAGAGGGCACGGAGGAAGAAAAGGTTCTTTCCTCCGTGTACGAGGCCGATTACAATTCACAAATACTCAGGTTATGCAAGAAGTAAGCGCATCTACTGCCCCCTTTTATTTTATGTCAGTAGCGCTGCAGTCGCCTGAGGTACTACAACTGCTACAGACAATTACAGGCACGTTGACTGTTCACTTTACGCTTCTAGATGCATTTATATAGATGGGTAGTTAAAACCCATAAAAAACATTTAGTTCATTTTACTTCACAAATGTCACTCCAGTCATAAACTTCAGCCACCAATTATATCACTTGGCTAGGCTTAAATTTGGCTGCCAATGGCTACAATTTGACGCTTTGATTGGTGTAAAGATGTGTAGTTCGACTAAGCTTTTCTGAAACTATATTCCGGCTTCTCATTGGATAAGCCAATAACTGGCTTGGCGGGAATCGTCTGGTACAACGTGCATAACGCCCAGTTCGAACAAAAGTTTCCGAGCGTTGCAACGAGCTTTACATACATCTGTCCTTCTAATTAATTTTAGAAGGCTGTAGACATTCTTTGATATTGTGTAGATTGTGTAGTGCCGCTGTGTCAAAAAAGCAACGCGCTGCCGTGAGTATCATTACCTACAATTTCATAGCATGTTCGTGCTTGGGTATAAAAACGATGTTTATTTGTTATGATATAGATATTGTGGTTAGTTCTCGTGCACACACCGCACCTTTCTGTAGCAGTTCTCCAAGGAAATTAAATGGTTTGTGAATAGTCCCTCCCTCCATTGATTATACTGTACGGCCGACGTGCCGCCGCTATATTTCTTGGCCCTTAGCCGTTACTTCATTATGTACAGTGGTCCAGAAGACGAAAAGAATCGTCCGTGAAACGATACAGTTTTCTGAGTGCTTGGATATATAGCCACCCGTAGTAGTGGGTGCAATGCATGGACAGAGACAGACCGTGTAAGAAAGAAGTGTGTGTGCTATTTTTGTTGTACAAAACGAGAAATTATTTCCTTCGCCGAGATTTAAATGTGTATTTTTCTTTTCTGAGCTACCCGATGATTGGCCCATCCCCCAGGATGAACCAGAACTTTAGGATCTACATCTGCCTTTGAAAAGCGATTTCAATCGACTCGATCGTTTGCAAAGGGTCCTGCTGCTCTACGACTTATATAAACTCGGCCTGAACTTCTGAGGAGACGATATGCAGGCACAGGCGATTCATGATAGGTAGTGTTTCTGAACGTGTAGCCTTAGTTTTCTTAAGAACACGCTAGAAATGGGTGAGAACTAACCGCCAGTCTTGCCAAGGAAAGTGTAGGGGATGTTATTTGTATTTATTTTGATATAAGAAGAAATTAAAGTGGGCAAAAACACAAATTGCCGGCAATATTCGAATAACTCATCCGATGATCTCTCAGTTGAGCTTCGAACGCAGACAGGCACACCTGTCTCGTGCATTTGTGGCTATGGCTAACTGGTGAAACGTGTGGAAGTGCTTTGCAGCGGCGAATATTCATGGCTATGCGAATTTTGATGCACTCATTTGTTTTCTTTTTCTTTTGTTTTCAGCATTGGTGATGCGAAGCAATGAGGGACCAGTCTCGAGGCAAGTTCTTCTCACCCGGGAAAAGCTAAACCATTCAAACTTGCTCAACCATGTGTACTTGCATATTGCATAGATGATAATGACGGCTGTCAAATGCAGTTTATAGCATTTAAGCTACTTCATCGCAATGATCTCAACATGCGAACTGGACCTGCATAGCTTTCATCCTGAAAATTATCAGCATGAAGTCTTTACTGAGCTCTAAAAGGTGGCACAGCTAATGTAGTATTAGTTGATTTTATTTATTATTATCACACTGAAGGTCATGTGGCTCAAATAGGAGGGGCAAAGTACAACATAAATACATGTCCACGGCATAATTGAAGAGAGAGAGAAAAATTTATAAAAGGAAGAGACATGGAGGTTAACCTAGACGAACTGGTTTGCTACCCTGTAAGGGGGTGGGGAAAAGGGAAATGTTATAATTGAAAATCTTAAACAAAGTCAGGGAAACAAACAACTCCAAATCAAAGTAGATTACAAAAAAAATAGGATGCAATGCTGTATTGATTCGGGTGAGTCCAGATGACGAAAAGGTATCGAGTTCCATTCTTCAATGGTTCGAACAAAAGAATAGAGTTCAGTATGGGCAACATAAAGGGGGATGTGAGTAAGTGGGAATGTCAGCTTTTCCTTGTCTTGGAAACATTTATGTAAGGTCTGGTAGGTATAAAAAATTTGCAATTGACTAAGGAATAGAGAAACTTGAGTCGGGATATTTTACATCTCACCTGAAGTGTTCAAAATTCATTGCAATGCGAAAGTTCATTTGCAGAACCATTGTGGCTGTATTATTTATTCATGACTCGTGGCCATATTATTTATTTAATCCTTCTTTTTTCAGGATATTACACCCATATGTTCGGTTCCACAAGATTTTGTGGTTTTGTAGTCAATACAAGCTTTCATCTCTAGACTCCGCTATTTCAACTTGCGATCGTGATTTTATATTTGCATAATCCTAATGGGGTATTGCAGAATGTGCAGTTGTGACCAGATCAGTTCTGATGCACTTGTTGCAGTATTTACGTACCTAATCGTGTTTTCACAATTTTCAATCTCGCCAGGGACAAGTACCTTAAGCACTGACGAATTTTCCTCAAAACATAATAAAAATGGCACCCTTGACAGGTATAGTAACCAAGACTTGTCGGCTATTTGTTTCACGTGAGCCCTGTTAGCTTATCCTGGTCTTCATTTCAGAAGCCTCGATGATGCACATCCTCGAGATGAAAGCAAAACGGAGAGTAAGTATTGTTTTTTTTGTTGTTGTTGTTCTAACACCTTTGTGATTGAGAGACTATATTTACAAAGTCCATAAATCGATCACTTACTTCACCACTTATTCCTGCATTTGATCTAAACTGTTTATCTTTTTTTGTTTACGTTGTATTCGTGACCTTGTTAGATTGAAAATCGCTCATGCTCCACCATTTTATGGCAAGCAGCCATTATACTATTTGAAATAGTAATTTTTTACTTTGAAGTAAAACGAAACGGAAAGGAAAAAAAAAAAGAACCTAGAATGAGTAGCACATAGCACTTTGACAGTCACAGACCAGCACACTGTGGCATTATCATCGTGCACTTTGACAGCTTCTCCTTAGTTCTAGCTATCTAACCTGCTGAGCAAAAATGACCAAAATGCTAGGAAATAGTACTACGAAGTTTCCAATGTCGTACTGTTCAATTGGCAAGTGGGTCCTGACATGGAAACTTTTAGAAATTTTAACCTGCGCTTTCTTGTATAATAATGAAGTTTTGAGGCAGACTCTCAGTGGACGTGTGGTTGTCTCAATTACAGCTTGGAAATGTGGGCTCAATATCGATTAAGGATTAATTGCAAGGTTTTAGGTTTAGGTGCCTCACTAAAGAAATCCAGTTAATCAAAACTAATGTGAAGCTTTTCATTGTGACATTAAATTAGCCAAGTCAAGCCCCACAAATCGATCAATAAATCATTGTAATTATGGCATTTCCATGCTCCTCTGCTGTTTTTTAGGCGAGTGCTTTATGAAGAAAGCATATCTTTTGGCTTAAGTATACACTTTGTGCACTGCGACTGGCACGCTGCCATGCAGCAGTCTGAGCAGACGGTTGCTAAAAGGCCAAGCAGAATCACTCTCCCAACGCATGCTAGCTCATAGTTTATCAAAATGATGAACTGCTGTGTAGTCTATCGTACCAACAGGTACAGGTCGTGACCTGTGGGAAGAACATTTTACGGTCTGTCGATTCGTCCCTGCTTTTTTAGGCCGCAAAATAAGTGGATCACGGCTGTGCAATGTAAAAAGTGTTTGGTTCCCGCTCCCTCTGCCATCTAGCATTCTGCCGCTGTGTGCTGGAATCGATCGGAGACAGTCTGCAGGTGCAATGATCTTGCATGATGTTCCTGCTGCCATAGAGCTGGTGAGAAAAGGAACGCACGCAAAGCATTTTAATTAAGCTCAAGGCTGGTGGAACATATTGATGGACCTTAATAAATATTAACTTGTCATCTACCCTTCACAATTTTGGGGAATACAACCTCAATTAGTGCTTTTCTGAATTGATAGGGCCATCAGTCAAGGAGCAAACTGAGTTATGTAGCATATTGCCGTAAACACAACTGGCCACCCTGCAGTGCACTGAGTAAGATCAGGCTACGACATTGGTTAATTGGTTGACCCTTAATAAACTGGCGCAATCCACTACGGGAGATCAGTCGTAAAATGGGTGGTGCCTTGGTATTAAGTGAATTAGTTTATAATTTCAGGCTTTTTAGCAGTAGATTGTTTTCGAAGTGAATAATTAGCTGAATTCACGAAAGAAAGACTAATGTTGAAGAATAAGCTTGATTCAGATAACCTTAGCATTCGATTGATTTCATCTCACGTAGTAAATGCCATATGGCATTGCGAATGCTTCTGCGGCTAAAGCTCAGTGCTGTAATCCCAAAGAAACAACCACCGGAAGTGATAAATTCAATCCCATTATTCATAGTGGCTCATCCATAACTCTTTTTTATTGATTGGTAAACAATCTGCATTTTAGGAAGAAATGATGCAGACCGTAAAGTAGCAGAACTATGGGGTAATAAAGGAGGGTTTGCGAATGCTGCAGCGACGGATGTGCGTGTCAGTGTTCATTTTGGAAAGCAACACAAAGAACGCAAATGAATGAGATATACATGACAGTGACCGTGCCGTTGCCATTGCCACTCTACAAGGTGAGGCGAAAGGAGAAAACGGGGCTGTAGCTTCCTCTTGGGCCGGAATCGTAGCGCATTATTCTTTCTCACCCGTGGTTCAACCTTAGCACGAGCCGCGTGAGCGGCGAAGTAAACACTTCGATCATGATGACGATGCTGCGACAATTTCAAGCAAAGCACTTCACAAGACTCGTTGGCTGAAAATCGCTGTGGCACGAAGCCGCAACAAACGATCACACCGCCCAGCCTCTCACCACGATTTCCACGGCGAGTGGCTGTGGAACTATCGGTGTTTCTAAATGCTCCGAGTATTTTGCAAGTACGTGATTAATGGGCACGCACCAATAATATTCCAAGTGTGGGAGATGACAGCGTACCGCGACAGTTGTGAAGTATGCACCTTGCATTACTCACATCTGACACACATTTAGTCATTAGTACTGACGACGGGCTGCAAGGCGCTCACTAACGTGGAAAACGTAGCTGCTTTTGTGCAGGTTTTTCTATTTATTCATGGTGGCATCACGAAAGAATGTCCCCCTACAACATCTTTAAATCCAGCTCGAAGCACTAACGCCCCGGACCTGGGCACTTGTGCCATCACAGCTATCAAAGCAATGAGGCGCTGCTGTCCGCTAAGACTCAACGTTGCACGCCCGCCGTATTGCAAGTCGTGCTGCGTGTGGCTTTCAAGGCACCCAATGGAGTGTAAAGACTTCACTGGTGGTGCAGTGTACCCTCATAGGTTCAGCGAATGCCTGACTGAATACATTTTTTATGGTTGCTAGAGTCGTTCCTATAATACAGAGCTGTCGGAATCATGCCTTCTTGATTCGGTGTGGTGAGATCTCAAGATGGGAGGTTTAAGATGCTACTCTCCAAGCATGTATTCAGATGGCAAAATCAGCTGTGCAGTTGTATTCACTCCACCCACACAATATGTACAGTTTACACTTTTGGTCCCCACGAACATAGTATATTAGGCGTACATGAGAGAGAGCTTGCATAATACAGCAAACTTGTTTCTTGAGGATCTAGACATCGTAGACTAGGCAATAAATCATTCACACTCTGAGCAGTTATGCGTGCTCAAAATATCTGCTTATTTTTTTATGTTTCTTGTATACTTTCGTACTAGCAAAACTGTGAATATTGGGATACAACAGTCGTTTCATGTTAATTGTGAAGCTGCCTAATCTACCTTTGAAAAAGCATTGAGCCCTCAAAATTCACACTCTCATAATTCTAGTATGCTGCTTCAGGTTGTATATATTTCTTAGCCACTGTTTACTGGTATTGACTAAGACAGGCAAAAGGATGAAAGGCATGTAGGATTGTGGAGATTTGGGGATGACTTGGAATCCATTAGCCCTTTCATGTGCCACCTATGAAGATGAAGAACTTTCTCTAAATATGTCAAATTGATATGTTATTTCAAGTCAGTCACTAGTATGTCACAACAAAAATATGTCAATTTATGTGTATTATAGTAACAAATTCTAATTGAGCTGTACTTAATTATCTACTTTATCCTCAAGTCATCAATGCTCTACTCTGGCACAGATAGAAGGAAATCTCAAGCTACAAATACTGTGCAAGTTATATTTTGCTTATGTCCATTCCGAGTAGAAGAAAATTTTACTTTTCGCATGGCTCGCAGGGAGCCACACGTTAAACGACTCGTTGAATGTGGTAGTGCAAAGGGATCATATGCAACGTTACACTGTAAAATGTAGTTAAACGAAGATAAATGTGCAGGATATTCTGTTAATCTAAATATTGATATCTCTCTCTCTTTCATAGCCCCTAGTTTATACAAATAACAAAGACGAGTGGTGTGCGCTGTTGCGTACGTTAGCGTGTCAAAGGGTCAAATAATCTAGATGGACACCTGTTCCTCGAGACATTTCTCCATGCATGTCTTTCACTATTATATTGCAGCTATTCTAGGTTGCCTGTTATACATTTTCATTCACTTTCAAAGGGCACTCGATTGTAGGTAACATGGGGGTAAGGCATATTTCTATAGAATTCCTGCCGCAGTTGCACAGTAGCATGCCGTCGTTCGGCCAAGCTCGAAGTTGCACGCTCAGGCCTTCTCACGATGACTTTTTGATGTCGAGAGTGAAATGCAAGCAAGCTTTTGCACTCGCCTTTATGCAAATGCAAAAAAAAAAGCCTACAGGTTCATGAAATTCCAAGCATGCGCTCCCACCCGAGCAGGTGACTTCTCCAACATGGCTGCCAATCTCAAATTTGCATGTCGTTTTTGGAAAAGCTGCTCATGGGATGTTCGGGGAAATATGTAGCTAATTCTGACATCTTTTCTAATTTATGCACATTGTCTAAGCTTGACTTTCATAATGCAGAGTGTTCATTTCAAACCCTTTCCCCCTTTTTTACGGTAAATTATATATTGTTGCGTACATGCACGAAGACGAAGAAGCGTATATGGGGAACGCACTCGTCGCCCAGAGCGAGAGAGGAAGAGGAGGATCAGGAGGATCTTCAACCAGTCGGCCGCTTCTGAGCTGCCCCTCACGACCTAATAAACGGCCCCTTTCAACGTCTACCAGTCTCTTTCTAACGTAACAGAGTGGTGGAGGTGCGGGGTAAGCACTTCAACTACGGAACGATCACTGCTACAGCTTCGACGAAACCGTCGACTTGCCGGTCTCCCGCCATCTGCCGTGAGTGACTTCGACATGCCCGAACAAGCAGGCGTTTCCAGGACGGCACCATCTGGCCCGCTTCCGTACTACCGAGTTCCACCGCCCTTCAAAGGAAAAGCCAAAGAAGATGTCGACGCCTGGCTCACCAAGTACAAACGTGTGGGCGAGTTCAACAGTTGGGATGCAGCTGCTATGCTAGCCAACGTAGTGTTCTCCCTGACCGACACCACACTGGTATGGTACGAGAACCACGAGGACGTACTCACAACGTGGGATTTTTTTGTTGAAGAGCTCGGGGCGTGTTTCGGCCACTCGGCTGCTAGAAAGAAGCGGGCTGAGCAAACACTGTTGCAACGGGCACAGCTACCAGGTGAGACATGCACCA